GTGACCAGTTGTGCGGCACAGCGGTTGGTTATCATATCCCTTTGTACATAAGGCGCCAATCCTCGGAGGAATTATTCGGAATTGCTTATTTCTACCACAGCCGCTTTCCTGTTGAAAAAACATCCTGTTCCTGATTTGTCTTTAAAGCTAGAATTTCCCATTGCTCGGATAGTTGACTAGCTAGCATATATTCCACTTTTTCTGAGGACGATTATCCTTTTACGTACCCTCTAGAACACTCCCTGGCTATTTTAAGCAGCCTGCAGCCCTCTCAGCAAATAATAATGGCTGCATCCAACCCAATCAATCCCACCACCGGAGGAACTAGCATAGATAACCTGCAGAAATCAAAAGGGAATTATTCGGAATGGATCGACCGCAAAGACGTCTTCAAGGCGCGCGATTTCCCTGAGCACATCGTCGATCTTGGCGAGATTCGTATGAATTATGCAGTGGCCGGCTCTCCGGAGCATCCGGCCTTGCTCTTAATCCCGGGGCAGACGCAATCGTGGTGGACGTACGTGCCCACAATGCGCCTGCTAGCCGAGTCGTACCAGGTTTACGCGGTCGACCTGCGCGGTCAGGGCCGTTCTACCTGGACCCCAGGCCGGTATAGTATTGATCTGTTCGGTAACGACTTAGTCCACTTTATCGATCGTGTCATCGGCCGTCCTGTGATTGTCAGCGGCCTGTCATCCGGGGGCGTCGTCACCGCCTGGCTCTCGGCTTTCGCGCTTCCGGGGCAGATCCTGGCCGCAGTCTACGAAGACCCGCCCCTGTTCGCGTCCGAGACGGAGCCGGCCTACGGCCACTCTGTTCACCAGACCTTTGTAGGGCCATTGTTCCGAATCTGGACCAAGTGGCTGGGCCCGCAGTGGTCCGTCGGCAACGTTTCAGGGATGGCCGCGGCCATGGAGAAGGAGCTCCCAGGCTGGCTGAAGGAGGCGCTCAGCAAGTTGGAAGATAAACCCATCGACTACGGCGACGACAAAGAGCCAGACCTTACGAACCTCTGCGAATACGACCCGGAGTGGGCCCAGGCCTTCTGGACTGGGGCGGCCACGCTGAACTGCGACCACGAGGCGATGCTGCAGCAGGTCAAGGTGCCGGTCCTGTTCACGCACCACTCCCGGATCATCGAGCCCGAGGCAGGCAACCTCATCGGCGCCATCTCGGACCTGCAGGTTCGCCAGGTGCAGCGGCTCGTGGAAGGCACTGGCAACTCTTTTACACTTCGTTCGTTTCCGGAGCAGCCGCATTCGATGCACGGAAACGACCCGGCCTTATTTGTTACCACCATAACCGAGTGGATAGCCGGGCTCGGCTTGGGGCCAGCACTCCACCCCACAAGTGTTGCTCCTCTTTCCGGACAGCAAGGTTTATTGTAACGCGGGAGGTTCATCTATTCAATATAGGAGCAGGAACATAATTATGATAAGTGTGAGAATATTACATTTCCTAAGGAACACTCAGGATAAGCAACGAATCTTCTTAATCCTAGCTTTCGTAATAGTTGTTGGTAAGATCTAGATGGAATACAGTCTTGTTAAGATTGAAACCGCAAATTACGTTCAAATTCTTATCCTGTGACTGTATTCGAGACCTACTTTGGTATTCAAATAACAACCTCCCCCCCTTCCTTTATGTATATGCAGAGCCGTAGTTGTTATTACGAATTGCAAGCTACGTTAAACTGCGAATTGCGGAGTTGACTGTTCAAGGTGAGCCGCTTCACACTTCACATTGCCAAGGATGAAAGGGGGAAAGGGGCGTAGGAGCTCGCCGACTTTTGAGACATCTTAAAGACAAGACGTTAAAAAGAAGAGTCATGGAAGGCTTCAAGAACCCTGCACAAAAACCCTGTGCCGCCCATTATGTCATGCTTAGGTGAAGACTGTTCAAAGATGGAGGGCACAGGACTAGTCTCGCTTCATAGTTTAGCCCTCCCTCGCTTATGGTAGCGTTGGTGGATTCTTGTCCATTAGATAATTTCTTGCCGCTGCTCATCATCTTATCTGATATCAGGTGCGTGACCTGAGGGTTGAATCAAAGGCAAGGTAGAACTTATCTTACAGGCGAACAAGCTAGACAAATATGGCATAAGCGATGTAATCTATGTCACGACAACACCAATATCCACGAATGTGTTCCAGCGAACGTGTAAACCAAACTCTACGATATACAGATTCCAATTGTCACCACCAACTCAATGGGGGGCAAAACATAATTCCGTTAGATTTCTGCGAGCTCCCCAGTTTCTAGATTGTCTTAGGACCTGACTAACAGCAGCGCCGCCCCCTTTCTGGTCTTAAGTAACAAGCACGGCGTCGGCAATAACACTCGGGAAAGCGATTGGCCATCCATAATAGGACTGGGGTGCAGAGCGGCTGGCTGGTTCACACCATAGAGCTCTCTGGTTAGGCTGGGGGGCGCTTTTTTTTTTCTCCTTCGGCAGTCGCCACGTACCACGAGCCGCGCACGGCGTATTCTCGTTTTCATAGCGCTTGACGCCACTGGTGCTGTATGTCTCAGACCTGATGGAGCAGATTGCGAATGCCATCGTAATTGCGACACATTGAGAGTGGTCAGAAGGGGGGTTTTTTTTTTCAGGGGGGGAGGGGGGCCTTATTACATTGCATTCGCTCACGCCACATGGTCAACATGCATTGCACGAACTGCTAGACAACAACAGAAACGTTGGATAAAAGGTTTGTGGCAATGTTTACTTGCAAAGTTTTAAACATCCCCAGATTAGGCGATGGGAAAAGTGCCCCATAATTAGACGAGCCACTCGGCAGCTGCCATTAGAGCTTCACTAGGTCCCTGAAAAGTCTTTTCCTAGTGCGAGATCTTAGGGTCCACCTGGTAAGTGGTTTCGATTGGAAAGCGTAAGAGTCAGTGGCACGCAGGACCTGTCTCGGTGACAACGACGATTTCGCGGCGTCCGATAATTTCCCCCGTCCAGTATTTTCGACCTTGGCAAAACTCTAGGTTGTTTTTAGGGTGAGCTTGCGCGAGCCAGCATCGGGTGCAGCGAGATGGCCTGCGGGGTTTTAAATTCCACTCCATGCCCCAGACTTTCCCTACATTTCAGCATGTTGGAGTATGGCTGTTGGAGAGTCTTGATGCGCCGTTTTCCATAGGGTCCGCAAAATCAGAAAAGTCTCCGTCTCGCCATCCAAGTCACAGCGGGGATCGGGTCGTGGGTTTCGTGCTCTCCGAATGGCCATCTTTATGGTAAGTATGCAGTTGCAGATCTATAACCACACTTTCTTGAGCTAACACTGGCAGGATAACGCCCCGAGTGTGGGCATTACCGTTATTGTCGTGACGATTCTGGCCTATACAACTTTCGGCCTGCGAGTATACACTCGATTGACGAGAAGGAATTGGGGACTCGAGGACTGGACAATGACCGTGGCAACAGTAAGTCCTCGTAATCGTGGAATATCAAGCAGCAACTAACATGTCAAGGTTCCATTTGCTATACTCTCGATATCATGTCTCCTTGCTTCGTTGAACGGGGTTGGAATTCACGCTTATAGACTCGAGGAGCCTGAGAATGTCAAGTACACGCAACTCGGATTGTTTGTAAGTAGAGGCTCTCCCGTATGCTTCTACCGCACCCAACAACTCTAACACTTCTGTAACTGTAGTGGTTCTTCCTATTTGAGGTCTTTTACTGCGTGGCCATTATTCCCATCAAAGCAAGCATCTCATTCATGCTTATCCGCATCGCCGAAGCACGAAGAGGATATATTTACACGCAATATGTTATCATCGCTATGTGCACCACGATGAATTTGATCGCCGGGTTCTACATTATCTTCCAGTGCAACCCAGTATCGTACGTACCATATTCTTGCAATTCATTCACTATAGCGGACGTAAAGCTAACAACTTGTAGCGCTGCTTGGGACTCGCAATTGATAGCAGAGGGTGACCATTGCAATGACGCCAAGATCCTCGCGGATATCTACTATGCTACCACCGCCGTGAACATTTTCACCGATTGGTTCACTGCTCTCATGTAAGTCGGATCAGACAAGTACGTCCTATGAAACGAAAAGCTAACGAAATATGGACAGGCCTATCCCGCTTATCTGGGGTATCAAACTCAATCGAAACGCCAAGATTTCCGTCGCAGCTATCCTAGGTCTAGGCATCTTGTAAGAGACAGGCCTCCCCCCTGTTATTCAAGCGCGTGTATCATATAGGACCTGAGCTGATGACAACACCGATAGTGCGTCTCTTTCCGCTTGTATTCGTCTCAAGTATACGATCAACTTAACCAACTCCGATGAGTATCTTTGTAAGGCACCCTCACTAGCAACAAGCTTGTTTCTCTAGGACACTCTCCACCCCAACCCCCCTCTGCTTCTACAAGATTTGCTAACAAAATCTTTCACCATATGCAGATGGCCTGGCAGATATCGTGCTTTGGGGCTATGCCGAAAATGGCATCGGTATGCTGGTCGGCAATATAGCGACGCTACGACCGCTGCTTAACAACCTGCTCCGCTTGGGTGGCTCCGATGCAGGCACCGCGCCAACGAGCCACGTCACGCCGTCTTCGGGGCTCCGAAACATCTACCACAGATACCAGTCCTTCGACACCCACGAGCTCAACTCGCTTGGCGCCGCTGAAGTTGGCAATGCCATTCCAAAGAACAGGATCGGCGACATCAGAACGGAGGTCCTTGGTGGTGGGGACAGGCGAGATAGCTTCTCAAGCGATGGGGGCAGTCAAAAACAGATCATCGAAAAGGACGCCGTTGTGGCATTGTCGGACGCGCCCACCAGTCCGAACCTCTCTGGAGGCATCGTGGTTAGTCGGTAGGTGGCAGTGAGCTCCATTTACGAGAGACAGGATGTATGATCGTGAACTTGGAAGCCTGTAGAATATATAGATTTATAGAAGCTCTTGATAATCAATCTTGTCATAAAAAGTGGTCTTTGACAGCAGCATGTGAACAAGATAAAAAGTAAAAAAATTCAGCTGCACAGCGAGGGAGTCGAACCCCCGGCCTGAGCATGGGAAACCCAGATGTTACCGTTACACCAGCTGTGCTTTGCTGTTGAATTTACATCAACTATCACGACGGATGAGGAGACGGCGTGTGTAAATTTACCTGCTACATGCTCTATTGCGTAATAAACTGGTCGTAAGGTGTATTTACAATAAACTGCAACATCTAAACTCTACAAACATGTGATTGAATGTCGAGGTGCAAACAGGAGAGGACAGATTTTATGTGAGGAGGCCGCGGTGAGGGTGGAAAAAGGCAACAACCTATGCAGCCCCCCGAAGCAAACTTGAAGTTCCAGTTCGAGCACTTCTACACCTAGCACGCACTTTGTGAAAAGCTAAAATACACCATCTACAGCGTTAAGGATATAGAAGTACATGGCCAGATCATCTATCAGGGGAAGCTGTCATCCTCTCCACTCATTTTTCCACCCGTAAGCCAAACCTTGGAAACCTCATACATGCCTAAATACAGCCCACTCCCCACTGCTGTCCAGACGGCGCGAAGGACAGCACCTCGAAACAGACCATTGATACCCCTCTCTTTTATTACCTTTCTTGCGACCTCCAGCCCACTTTGCCCTCTACCCGATATTTTTGGGGAAGTCTTCTCGCCGCCTCCATCTTTCGCCGCTGGCCGTTGCTGCTTATCCTGATCTTCAACACCACTCCCCGCCATCAACATCATGCGCGTCTTGACCACGTCCATGGGTGTGGTGACGAAAGCGGAGAAACTGCCAGCGAGCCCCGCGCTCGCGCCCGTCACTAGCCCAATCTCAACCAAGCTGCGCTCCCCGACTTTTCCGGAAGAGGAGCGGCGACGGCGGCGGTCCCAGGCGGCGGCGCGCACGTACTCAAATATGGGGAACTGTATGGCCGTGAAGGGCAGGTTACGCGCAACCATGGCCGTGTACCCACTCAGCAGCCTCCGGGCCGCGTTGCCGGCCCCTCCGCTGCCGAGGTGCTTTAGGGCCTGGAGGCTCGTGGACTGGCTGCCTGCACTAGAACTGCCACTGCTGCTGGTTGCCCCCTGATTTCCCCGTTGTAGCATCTGCGCGTTCTGCTTGACTACCTCCGCGGGTGTGAGCACCACGCAGCTGGCCATCTCGGCCACGGCGCTGGCGACGGCGTGCCGCGCGGGCTGCGGGAACAGCGCGGCCACCGAGCTCCTACCGCTGCCGCCGCTGCTGCTGCCCGATCCATCGCGTCCTAGACGATCATCTAGGAGCGACTTGGCGCCCTCATAGACGGAGAAAAAGGTACCTGCCGCGGGGAGGGTGGCGACCACGACGATACCCAGTCCCTGGTACAGGCCGCGGAAAAGCTGGCGCGTAGGGACCTTGGTCTTGGTGGTGGGATCTGCAAAGGTGCGCAGGAAGTCCTGGGACTGCTTGCGGGTCTTGAGGGTGTCCAGAGGGTATATGAGGATGTCTACTGTGAAGGCTGCCGCTGCGCCCGCCTGGTGGAAGCGAAGAGATACGGTCGAGTTAGCAAGTCAAGTGTAGATGGGAGCCTTTAACTTGTACTTGGGGAGAGCGTGTACCTACCAGGAGGACGTCTCTGTTGGAACTATCGCTCATGGCCGGTCATTGGTAAAGAAATTGTCTATTCAATTGGAGACTGTTCCATTGGTTTTTATTTTTCTAATTTTCATTCTTGTGTGGTTGTCAAGAACGGCGAATGGTATCCCATCACTTATGCTGAATGTCCCATGCCGGCCATGACGACATAGGCTCGCTGGGATTCCATAGCAGGTGGCCAGTTGTGGGTCGAACGCAATCTGGTTAGGTAGGCGGACGGATTACCCGCTGAGGGGAGCGGTTGCGGGCGGTGGATCCGGCACTTGGAGCTCCCAACCGAGCCCACTAACTATATACGATCCTAACACTACCCTACCCTGCTGTGCCTTTGGGATCAGCGGGATATGATGGGTCCCGTTCGCTGTTGACGGCCAGGCAGATCAATATACGGATAGATGCGACGAATTCTGCCGGTATCAAATTCTCAAGTCGGACGGAGGGATCTATAACGCTGATGTATTGAATTGCATTCACGACTATGCAGTTAGATATACTACCTATGTAGATCACCATGTACTTACCCAGCAAACTACGGTCTAAGGTGATGCGACGTTGTCGTACAACTTTAGTGTGCAGCCGGCGTGTGTCTTTGTTAACAACTCTCTTTCTTCGCTCCAAAGTTATTGAAAACTGCGTGGAGGTGTCAGCAACATTTCGGCACCAAACCACCCAACACGACTCTTTCCCGAAACCGCAAATACTTCTTGGTATCGTTCCATGAATTGCTTGAACCCCAATAATCAGTCACTGGTTTTGCAACACATTCTTGTGCCATCAGTACATCAGCCACCATGAAGGAAAAGCTAGATGCCATTCTAGCATCTCACGTCGTCGCCCCTAACGAGGATCCAGTCCACAACAAGCTCCTCGCTGCCGGTCTTGTAGTGGTAGACAAAAATGGAGTTCTCTATTCAAATTCCGCAGGCCGCCAGGACTTCCCTAGAAACTCCGCGCCATATACGACCTCATCGATATCATGGATCGCCTCCATGACTAAACTTGCCACCGCGGCCTGCATGCTGCAGCTCGTTGAGAAGGGACTCATCACTCTCGACGAGGACCTGCGACCCAAAGTTCCCGAGCTCGGATCTTTTCAGATCCTGCGCGGGTTTACAGACACCACTGCTACCGCCAGCACCAAGGAGGGACATGGTCTAACGGAGGACCCGTCAGGTCAGCCCATCCTCGAGCCCAACACCGAGCCCATCACCCTGCGCCACCTCCTCACGCACACTCTGGGCCTGGGCTACGACCTCGCGGACCCGGACCTGGTCCGCTGGTCCGCCGCCACGGGCCGCACGGCGACCAACCTCGACTGGACCCTAGAGGGCTTCACCACGCCGCTCAAGTTCGCGCCAGGGAAGGGCTGGTGCTACGGTGCCGCGTACGACTGGGCGGGCAGGCTGCTGACGCTGCTCACCGGCCGCACCCTCGGTGAGTACATGGCGGAGCACGTGTTCGCGCCGCTGGGCATGGAGTCGACAGGGTTCTGGCCGGAGAGGATCGATCCAGAAGGGGAGAGGAGACTGGCCCTGGCTTTCGCGAGCGAAAGCAGCGACGACGACAGGGATGTAACACTGAAACCCGGCCCATCTCCGGTGCCCACGCAGCGGCAGCCATCGCAGGGGATGGAATCCGGCGGAGCGGGTTTGTACAGCACCCCCTCCGACTACGGGCGCCTGCTGCACGGGATCCTGACCCACCGCGTGCTCTCCGAGGCCACCACGTCCTCGCTGCTCCTGGGGCCGCAGCTCCAGGACACCGAGGACAACCCCCAGCGCGCCATGCTGGAGCGGGTCATCGATTCGGGCCGCGCCGCACTGGCCCCCGAGCTGCCCGCCCGCGATACCCGTCTCGATCACACCCTCGTCGGCCTGCTCAACCGCGACGACATCCCCGGCAAGCGCCGCGCGGGCAGCGTCATGTGGAGCGGCATGACCAACGGGCGGTGGTGGATCGATCCGCGGTCCGGGGTCGCCGCCGCCGTGCTCACCTGCGTGCTGCCGCACGGGAACGCCGCGGTCGCGAGCATGTGGGATCAAGTGGAGCGCGCGGTTTATGAAGAGATATCTGCATCGCGGAGTGGCTAGAGGTGAGAGGGTGCCATGGGGAGGGGAAGGAAGGAAAGGATCGATAGCAAAGTCCAGTCCGAATCACAATGAGAGGAAGAGCGAGAAGAAAGCACATGCGCAAGAACAGTAATTAGCTAGAGGCATTAAAAGTAGAAGCAATGATCTTTTATTTCTCCCCCTCCGTTTCCCAACAGCGCTCCCTCCGATTCTACCATGTACAGGCACGTGGATATCGTAAAAAGAACCAACCCCTGTCAGATCCTCCCCATTCTCTCTCTCCCCTTCTCTCTCTCTCTACTCTTCTCCCTCTACCCTTTCGTAAACTGGCCACAAGTCAAAGTCATATCCGAAGTGTCCTGAGCCATTTTAAAAGAAAACACACTCAAGTGCCATCTTCTCCCTGAGGGCTAACATGGTTAACCGTCAGTTCCGCTGCTTCTGAAAGTGTGGCAGAGTGCAGCATAGTGATGCGTAAGGTCCAGCACGGCCTGTGGTAAGCTGGTGGCCTGGATGATGCTCCTGACCTTGACAGCCCCCTCGTCTTCGATGAGCGTGCGGATCGTGAAGAGCAGCTCGGGCGAGAACTCGCTGTACCAGCGGTACTGCCAAGCGACTAATCGGATCACGCTGCCGACGGTTTCCCTCGTGTTCTTCTGCTTCTCCAGCGAGCGGAGAATGCCCGTCAACGCCTTGGGGCTAAAGCGCTGAGCCAAGCAGGCGCGGTAAGCCTCAACGGCTTCCTCGTGGTGGTGGAGACGTTCTGCCAGAGACCCCAGGATCTCCCACTCCTCAGCGGACTTGCGGTACTGCATGGATTGGGCACGGTATTGTGCCATTTGGGTGCGCCAAATGGTGTAGACACGAAGATCTTCGTAGAGCACCATAAAGAGGCTGTCTAGCCAACGCTCGCACAGTCGCTTGTTGTTGAGGCGCGATAGATGCTCCTCCGCCGTTGCGCTCTGTGCCATCAGATTAGCCATTTACTACCCTCAGATCTATAATCAGAAACAAAATCAATAAACTTACGTTGTCAGAGTCCGACTTGATGGCGTCAGCCTTGACCTCTCCAGGATCAATGGCGTGCGTAGGCTTCTCGACCTCACTTGCGGCATCATCCTCATCCTTGCCGTTCGTTAGAGTGGGTGCCAGGGAATCGGCTTCGTCTGCCTTGGCGGGCTTCTCCGTCTTGCTTTCCTCCTCCTCGTGTTCACCATTGGTAGACGGCTCGGGTGATCCGCGGAGACCATCGGTGCTAGGGTTACGGTTTGCTGGTGTTGGTGCTGCGGAGGTAGTCGTGTCTTGTCGTTCACTTCTGTACTCGTCCTCCATGACAAAAACGTTGCTTCGGATCTTGAGAAGCTGATCCCAACCAATCTTGGCCGTCATTTCC